GAGCACCCTCAGCTCTTTTTATCTTTTATTTTGACAGAGGGTCTTGCTAAGTCACTTAGGGCCTTGCTAAGTTCCTGAGGCTGGCTTTGAACTTGAATATTCCTGCCTCAGCCTCCTGAGCTGCTGGGATGAAAGGCATTCTCCACGGCGCCAGGCTCAACCCCATGTTAATGTGGGTATCGGGGTCAGTGACTGGACAGTTTGCCTTAGTGCACCTGTGCTACTAAAGAAATTTATCTTCTAAAATACGTTGAGAAACCTATGGCCTAACTCCTAGCTGTATAGTGTCCTCAGTAGACCCTGCCAGGAATCAGCCCATTGATCTTTCCTTTTTTACGTACTTCTTAACTGGCTCTCTTTGTGTCCACCTGTTTATTCTCAGGATTAGTCCACCCATTGTTCCGTGTTACCTGGTTGTTCATGAAAGGCAATTCATGTGACCTGCTACGTTAGGGTCCCCCGTTGCTGCTCATTCCTAGCTGCTTCCTAACAAGTTTCATCTTGAAACTGCCCTGACTTGCACTGACAAAAAGTACGAATCCTTTTCCTTAAAAAAAAATAAAAATAAAAAAAAGCACAGATGTGTCATACACTTGGGGAGGATCAGTACCCCATCAGAGCCCACCCCTGGCCGGGGTTACAAATCATCAGTCAGCCCCAGTGACCTCCCTAAGGAGGAGGAGGCAGGTATCGCCATTGCCACTTCATTGATGAGAAAAGAGGCTCAGAAAGCTGCAGCGATTTGCACAGGTGTGGCGGAGGTGGGACTGGCGCAGTCACCCCGTTCAGCAGGCGCTGGGCATCCAGACCCCCGTCCTTGCCTAGAGGCAGCTCCATCTAGAAGCCAGATGTTGTGACTCCAGAATTTCTATCTGCCCAAAGGGCCAGTGGACAGGGAGCTGGGTTTCCTATCACCCTGGGTGTCCTGCTGTTGCTAGATGCTGTCTTCTAAGGCCCTCCATCTGAATGCCTGCGCTTCCTGCCCTTTCCCACTCTGGACGGTAGCCACAGGTCACCAGCCACACTGGGACTGAGCAAGGCACAGATGCCAGCCACTGCTGCCACCCCCAGCGTCTCTCTTCCAGGCTGGGCTCTGGGGGTGGGGTGGGAGGTAAACCATTCCCGGGGTGGAGGGGGCAGTTTTTCAAGGGAATGAAGAGAGAGCTCAGCTAGCACTGCTTTCTGACCTTGACCATGCTCTGTCAAGAGCATCTGTCTCTGGGCCACTTTCCAGCCTCCCTGGGTCGGGCCATCTCTGTTCCTGTGGCACAAGAGTCAGCAGGTGTGAATCCAATTCTAGCTTTGCCACTGATTTGTTGGGTGACCTTGGGCAAATCACATCCCACCGTTCTCTGTTTGCTCCATGATAAGTTGATGATGATGGATAAAATGAGGTTTTCAATCTGTTCCTTGGAGCCTGACAGTTCCACAGATGAACCTGAGCTCCCAACATAGTGGCCTGTTTTATAAATAGGGGTCCTACAATTGTCAGAGTGTTTGCTCCCTTAAAAATCTGAAAAACTACTGAATAATAGACTTTTTTTTTTTTAAGTGCTGGTGATGGAACCTAGGTCCTGTGCATACTGAGCAAGTTCTCCAACCACTGAGCCACGTCCCCAGCCCCAAACATAATTGCTCTTTTAAAACAGATTTATTAGTACATTATAGTGATGCAGAGTGGGGTTCATTTTGAAATACTAATATATACATGTAACATAGTTTGCCCCACCCACCTGTGAATCTTCTATCATAGGTAGATGAAATTAGATTATGGCTAGAAAAAAATATTCTGTATGGAATTTGTATGGGATCAGCCAGGGGTACAGACACACAGAAAAAGCTTCAATTGTAGGGTTTTATTTCAAGAGAGGAGAGACAGTACTAAGGTCTGGTAATTTCCCCCGGTCATGAGTATAGTATTTTTTTTTCAGGAATTTCTTCTTTGTAGAAGATAAAAATCAGTAATCATTTAGTTTATTCTCTCTCTCTCTCTCTCTCTGAGCCTTTGTGGAACATTCTAGATGCAAACCATAAAAAGAGTTTAAGGTCCCGGATGTTTTTCTGGTCTTTCTGCATACCTTTCTTTTAATAGACGATGGGGTCAGGAGCTAAAGGCTTGTTTTTTTTTTTTGTCTTATGTACCTGTGGTGGTCCCTGACCATACATACTGGAAGGACAGAGTAAGGTTGGGAGTTGTGCATGTGACTGAGGGCTTGGAAGAGTCCTCACTGGGCAGGAGATGAGCCCAAATGAAAGATCAAGAAGGAAGGTGAGGGCTGAGGGTGTGGCTCCACGGTGGAGCACTTGCCTAGCATGTGCGAGGCCCTGGGTTTCATCCTCAGCACCACATAAAGATAAATAAAGGTATTGTGTCCATCTACAACTAAAAAAAAAAAAAAGAAAAAATTTAAAGAAGAAGGAGGAGGAGGAGGAAGGTGAGCCAGGAAAAGAATCTTGGGGCAAAGATCTGGAGGCCAGAAAGCAAATCTCCTGGGGAACTGGAGTCAGCTCCTGGAGCCGGGCTGAGGTGCGGAAGAAAACCTCTACCTGGCTGGCTGCAGGCAGCAGGCACACTGCCCGTGACGATACGACAGGAGTCCCATGTCACTTGGATTTTTCCAGTAACTACACAAAAAAAGATATAGGGCTGGGGATATCGCTCAATGGTAGAGCAAGTGCCTGGCACGTACAAGGCCCTGGGCTCACCCCCCAGAAGTTCAAGGCCAGCCTGAGCAACAACTGTCTCAAAATTAAAAATAATTAATAATAATATTAATAATAATAATAGGCTAGGAATGTAGCTCAGTGATAGAGCACCCCTGGGTTCAATTCCTAGTATTGCCAAAAAGAAAGAAAGGAAGGATGGAAGGAAGGAAGGAAGCAAGCAAGCAAGCAAAGCAGCAGCCAACAAGGCTCAAGCTGAGTGACCAAGACAAATATGGTTAAGGAGGTCAGAGAGGTAAGGACCAGAGCACCTAAGTCCTATCAGGTCACTGTCAGGACTAAGACTTTTACTGTGAATGACATGGGGAACTCAGTAGCGTTTGGGGCAGAGGAGCAACATGATCTGACATGTTTAAAAGGATCGCTCAGGTTGAAGTATTGAAAATCAAACCAGAAATGGGCCTGGAGGAAAGCAGGGAGCCCGGGTGGGAAGCTGCCGCACTCCCCTGGGAAGGGATGATGCCTGATTCCCAGCCCCACCCTGCCATGCTGGGGATCTTCCCCCAGGCCCGGCTCATGCTAGGCAGGCACTCCATCACTGAGCTACATGGCTAGCCCTCACTTCCAGAAATTTTATTTCATTCTTTTTCAAATCCACCCACAGCAGGCACAGTGACATGCACCTATAGTCTTGCCTCTGGGAGGCTGAGGCAGGAGGAGCTAGAGCTCAGAAATTCAAGGCCAGGAAGACAACTGAGCAAGGCCTCATCTCAAAAAAATAGGCTGGGCGGGGTGCACCCCTGTAATTTCAACTACTCAGGAGGCCGAGGATCACAAGTTCAGAGCCAGCCTGGGCAATGTGATGAGTCCCTGTCCCAGAATGAAAAATAAAGAGGGGTTGAGGATGTAGCCTAGCATGTGTGAGGTCCTGGATTCAATCCACAGTACCATAATAAATAAATAAAATGGGGGCTGGGATGTGGCTCAAGTGGTAACGTGCTCACCTGGCATGTGTGAGGCACTGGGTTCGATCCTCAGCACCACATAAAAGTAAATAAGTGAAATAAAGGTATTGTGTTCAACTACAACTAAAAAATAAATAAATAAATGAAAAAATAATTTTAAAAAATGTCTACCCAGACAATCTCTTATTCTGTGCTCATGTTTTCAATTATTGCTAATTATCCCAAACACATTTTTGTAAGTTTTACCTAGTAATTATACTTTACAAAGCTTTTGGGAGGGTAATTCTGTTATCTGACATTCCTGCTAAAGCTTGCTGTTGCTTTCACACATTGTGAAATTTTACATGTCGAGCCCAAATTCCACAGGCCTTTTTATGTAGTAATTTTGTGCAAGCTGCGTAAGCATATCTCTCTATAAAAATGTTTAGCTTGCTTTCTAATTATATCTTTTGTGTCTCAGACAATATTTACATGTCCCGAGTTTTTTCTTCAATATCACAAACTTTTCTATTAAAAAAGATTCATTATCTAAGATTCAAATTTTTTGTGTACTAGGGATTGAATCCAGTGGTGCCTTATCACTCAGCTCAATCCCTAGTCCTTATCATTTTTTAAAAAAATATTTTAGTTGTAGTTGGACACAATACTTTTATTTTATTTATTTATTTTTATGTGGTGATGAGGATCAAACCCAGGGCCCCGCACGTGATAAGCGAGCGCTCTACTGCTGAGCCACAACCCCAGCTCCAGTCCTTATTATTTTTTATTTTGAGACATGGTCTCACTAAATTGCTGAGGCTGGCCTCAAATTTGCAATATCCCTGCCTCAGCCTCCCAAGTAGCTGGGATTATAGATGTGTGTCACCACAACCAGCTTAATTGAATTTCTATATTTTATAAAGATAAAATATTTTATCTTCTATAGCTTATCTTCCCACCACTTGGGGTAAAATAGTCTTATTTCCCTTCCCCAAACTGTTGTTAAAACTTCAGCACTTTACCAAAACTGGTGTGGGGGTGTGGGGGTGTGTGTGAGCGCGCGCACGCACACACACACACACACACACACAATGGAAACCCCCTTACATCATCTCCAGATTCCATTTCTTTGGGGTTTTGCTTTCCTCTTGGTTGTTGCCTCCGGGGGATTCCCCTTGCTTTCAAAAGGAAGTGTTCAGATGAGGGTTTTCTGCCTGTCGCCTTCCCGTGGTCCTGGCTGGCTGTCCATTTGAATGGACAAAGGGCAACATATACAGCCACAGTGGAAGCTAATTTTTCAACAGGGGTTGCATCCGCACAGGTCAAAATTGGACTGGAGTCAGTCGGATGATTGCACTGACTGAAAATTTCTCTCTTTTCCTTGTCCTGCAGCCGAGCCCTCTGGACCAGCCAGTGGACTCGGAAGGGCCCCCACCCATGGAGTTCTGCCTGGAGAGAGAGGCAGTCAATGGCTCAAAGAATGACTTGAATTTCAACCCCATGAAGGATTACATGGTCCTCAGCCGTCCTCAGCAGGTGGCCATTGCCGTGCTGTGCACCCTGCTGAGCCTGCTAAGTGCCCTGGAGAACCTGACGGTGCTTTATCTGATTCTGTCCTCCCGCCGACTCCGCAGGAAGCCCTCATACCTGTTCATTGGCAGCTTGGCTATAGCTGACTTCCTGGCCAGTGTGATCTTCGCCTGCAACTTTATCAATTTCCACGTCTTCCACAGCGTGGATTCCAAGGCCATCTTCCTGCTGAAGATCGGTAGTGTGACCCTGACCTTCACTGCCTCGGTGGGCAGCCTGCTGCTGACCGCCATTGACCGCTACCTCTGTCTGCGCTACCCACCTACATACAAAGCTCTACTCACCCGTGGGAGGGCCCTGGCAACCCTGGGCATCATGTGGGTCTTGTCAGCGTTGGTCTCCTACCTGCCTCTCATGGGGTGGACCTGCTGTCCCAGTCCCTGCTCTCAGCTTATCCCGTTGGTCCCCGACAACTATCTCCTGGGCTGGCTCCTGCTGGTTGCCATTCTCTTCTCTGGCATTATCTACACCTACGGGCACGTCCTCTGGAAGGCCTATCAGCATGCAGTCAACTTGGCCGAGCACCAGGACAGACAGCTGCCAGGGATGATCCGCATGAGGCTGGATGTGAGGTTGGCCAAGACCCTGGGGCTGCTGCTGGCTGTGTTGGTCATATGCTGGTTCCCGGTTCTGGCCCTCCTAGCCCACAGCCTGGTCGCCCCGCTGAGTGACCAGGTCAAGAAGGTCTTTGCCTTCTGCTCCTTGCTGTGCCTCGTCAACTCCATGGTCGACCCTGTCATCTACGCCCTGCGGAGTCGGGAGATCCGCTCTTCGGCCCATCATAGCCTGGCCCGCTGGAAGGACTACCTGAGAGGCCGTGGTCCTGAAGGAAAGGAAGAAGCCCCCAAGTCCTCCGTCACAGAGACAGAGGCTGACATGAAAATCACCTAAGGACCCCTGTCAGAAGTCCATTCTGCTCAGATTGCTGAGGAGGCCTCTTCCCATTTTTAACCCAAGTCAGAAATCATTTTGTTCCCTAGATGAATGAGAGCGGTCCTGGCCCTCTCGACCTTTGAAAACCAGCCCCAGGACTTGGAACTGACCCCTTTGTGCTGAGGAGTGCTGGGACTGGTTCCTGGAGGGTGGCCTGGCCGTGTCCACCTGCACAAGTCTGGGGCTTTGTGAAGAGTGACAAAGTGCATCAAAGGCACAGGGCCCAGGACAGGCTCATTTCATGTCGGGTCAGGAAAACCTTCCCAACAAGTGGCTTAGTGCCTGCATCCCCCCAGAGACCACAGAAGGAGGGAGCATCTGGCTGGCTCAGAGAAAATGCGAGGAGGACTGTGTGTCCCTGGACCTTGGGTATCAGATGGGATGGCCAGCCAGGGCTTGTGTCTGACTGATCATGGGGCCTTCCTTTGTTCTGGAAGCATGAAAGCCCCTCCATCAGGTCACCCTTTCCCACTGAGGCCCAAGAAGTTGTGAGTTGATGAGGATCAAGGGGGTTGACCCACTTCTTGCAGAGACAAATAACAAGACTTCAGTTCAGGGCATCCTGTTAGGGTAAAGGCCCTCCTGATGCCCTGTCATCCCTGCTCATGCCGTGATTACCCCCAGATCCCTGGGAGGAGATGGGAGGTACTGGAGACACAGATACTTCCAAAAGTCATACTGACCCATGACGTCCACCTGGTGGTGCTATGGGAACAAGCAGTGTTCAGGGTAACCCAGCTGCAGGGAAAAGGAAGCTATTCACAGGTTCTCTAAGTCCCCAGAGTGTTCTCAGTCCCCACTCAATGCAGCCCCTTTGCCTCCACCAGACACCTGGAATGCTCGGCAAGTGGGAGGGGGCAAGGCTGACTTTCCAGTCTATTAACCGCAGCAAGAACTGACCCAGGCTTAGGAGGGTCTCCAGGGACCCATAATTTACGTGTCTGTGGGGCTGGGTTCCCAGCAGACAGGCGTCAGACAGGAGGCAAGAGGAATTGTTGGTGGCATGAAGGATCGCAAAAGGAATTCAGGCGCAGTCATTTGGGACCACAGATGCAATAAAAGAAAATATATTGACTAACCGTATTTCCATTTAATTATCCAAGACAACATTTTCCCCGTCCACTCTCTGTCCCATCCATCTTGTGAACAAGTGCTGGGCTCCGTGCTTGGGAGAGGAAATCCAGCCACAGAGACTCCACCCCAAGTCTCATGGGGCTTGTGTTCCATGTCTGCATAAAAAGAAAGTCAGAAAAAAAAAAAAAAAACGACAGGAGGAAATCAGCAAGGTCATGGGACAGGGGTTGATGAAGGCCACTTCAGGTAGGGTTGACCTACTGTGTGTACAGGCCATGACTATGTCCCAGGCCCTGGGGTAAGTGCGCTGAGATGCCTCAGTTCATTTAGTCTGCATAATAATCTGACAAACAGGGCCTAGTGGCCTCCAAAAGGCAGTCACTTGTCTGAGGTCACACTGCTAACAAATGTAATTGTCCCTTGGGGTCCAAGGGGGAAATCGATTCCAGGACCTCCTCCACTCCCTACAGATGCCGATGTCCTTGGATGCCCAAAGCCCTTATATAAGAGGGGTATTTGCACATAACCTGCGTGCATTCTCCCACATACTTCGTGCGTGTGTGTGTGTGTGCGTGTGTGGTATTGGGGATGGCTCAGCTTTACCACTGAGCCACATCCTCAGCCCTTTTATCTTTTTTTTGAGACAGGGTCTCACTAAATTAGTGAGGTTCTTGCTTAATTGCTGTGGCTAGCCTAGAACTTGCACTCCTCCTGTCTCAGCCTCCCATATCACTGGGATTACAAGCATGTGCCACCACATCCGGCCAGATAAAATTAAAAAAAAAAAAAAAAACTTTTTAAATTTTTTAATCTGTGGTTTGTTAGATTCACACGCGCGGAACCAGTGGTTAAGGACAGCTGATTTCCCAGAGCTGGGGTTTCCAGTCTGGTTCTGTTTACTCCAAAGCCTGCCTCCTTAAACATGACCTTCTCAGCTTAGTTCAGTCCAATTTGTCTTGACTACTGCTCATTAGGCCTGATGGTGGTTTTCTTGAACACCAGACCATTGCAACCCTAACTCAGCATTGTTTCTTAACATGTTCCATTCTGTACACCTGTATTAATTTCCTATAACAAATGTCCATGAACTAGGTGACTTTAAAAAACAGAAATTTATCTCCTCCCAATTCTGGAGGTCACAAGTCCAAAATCAGTAGGGCCATGATTCCTCCAGAATTGCAAGGGGAGGATTTTTCCTTGCCTCTTCTAACTTCCTATGGCTCCTAGTGTCTTTAAATTGTGGCAATCTCTGTCTCTTGTCTTCATATGATCTTTAAAAAAAAATTTTTTTTAGTTGTTGATAGACCTTTATTTTGTTTGTTTATATGCAGTGCTGAGAATCAAACTCAGTGCCTCACACATACCAGGCAAGTGCACTACTGCTGAGCCTCAGCCCCAGCCCCATTCATATAGCCTTTTTATCCCTTGTCTCTTGGTGTCTAATCTAGCATGATTTCATGTTAATTTAATTAGCTACACCAATGAAGTCCCTAAATAAGGTCACATTCACAGGCTCCATGTAAATGTGAAGTTTTGGGGAACACTATAAAATGTTCAACCCAGTGCAACCACCAGGGACAAAGTCCACCCCTCTGGGCTGTGTTAATGACAATCATTAGCTTGTCTTCTCTGGAGCTGAGCTCTGTGCTTGCCTCTGTGTCCCCAGTGCTCAGGGAGAAGATGTTGACCTGGTCAACATCTGTAGAACTGAATTGTCTCTGAAAAGCTCCAACATGCATTTTGGAAAACCAAAATTTTATTTTCACTCACATTATGGCAAAGAAATGCCATTATTGTGTTTTTTCTGGTGCCAGAGACGGAGCCCATGGCCTTGTACATGCTAGACAAGTGCGCTACCACTGAGCTGCATCCCCTGCAAATGACACAAAATTTTTAAGTGATTTCTTATGTTCACTATTGTGGCACGTCTCTCTTATTCATTGGTGGCTTTCCCCCCTTATTTAGCAAAGAAAATGACCAAGTACGTGACAGAAAGTGGCACTCAGTAAATTTTTATTGAGTGAATACAACTAGATTTTAGGAGTCATTCAATCAAGTGCACTTCCACACAGAAGCAGAGGTTGTGGGGGGAGAGAGACAGGAAAGAGGACCCTGGATATCCCTGAAAGTTGTCCTCTGTGCTTAGGGGAAGAAACAGAACCAGACAAGGGGACAAGTCTTGCCCAAGGAAACCAGCACAGTGCCCAATGCAAGAACCCCAGGTTTTTGGTCATGCCCTTCTGCCCGCTCCCCAACAATGCCGCTCACCTATCCCGGTGGGTTGGCATTTTGGTTATGTGGGTAAGGACAAATGAAGGTCACAGTATCCCATTTTTTCTCCCCAAGACAAGTTCTGTATGTTAAAGGCCACAGGAAGGTGGGGGCTGTGGCTCAAGTGGTAGAGTGCTCGCCTGGCATGTGTGAGGCACTGGGTTCGATTCTCAGTGCTGCATAAAAATAAAATAAAGATATTGTGTCCACCTAAACTAAAAAATAAATATTAAAAAAAAAAGGCCACAGGATGCTCTGATCACTAGATGTATGGGGGTGTTTTTTTTTTTTTTTTTTTAAGGTAACTGTGCTTACTCTTGTGACACAATTTCAACATAACCTTGCAGAGGAAGAAAAACAAAAAATAAAGAAAATACTACAGCCATTGTATTTCTGTTTTGCTCCCCAAATAAGGAAGTGCTTGGTTCTATCAACACTGGCTCTGGCCCCTCCTCCGCAGGTGGACAGAGGCACATATTCCACTTCCCAGAAGATCTGCATCCTGGTCCCACTCTTGATCCAAATGAGCTGCCTGATCTTCCCCTCTCTGGGCCTCCGTTTCCCTCTCTGTAAAATGGGAAGAGTGTGGAAGGGATGATGGCGGAGGTCTATAAACTCCCTTAAGGCCAGCTCCGGCATGCTGCTGTTCTCCTGCTGATCATGATGGGGGACTGACTGATGTTGTGGTGGGAATATGAGGTTAAAGGAATAAATCTATGAAATGGGCCCACTTTCCTGAGCCCACATGCTTTCTTTTCTAAAAAGCAATTTACCTACAGCCCAGCCTGGCTTAAGTTCACAGGAAACGTGGCAGTCCTCAGCAAATACTTGTTTCTTCTTAAAATGTGATTGTTTCATATTTTTAGTTGTAAATGGACACAATACCTTCAGTGTTGTATTTATTTTTATGTGGTGCTGAGGATCAAACTCAGTTCCTCATGTGTGAGGCAAGCTCTCTACCACTGAGCCATAACCTCAGTCCCAGTAAACAATCTCTTATCTGCAAGAGAAATTCAGGTCTGAAATGAGAAGAATATGAGTTACCCTGCTAAAGGCTGAGGGCAGGTTTATGACTCTTACACAGACCAGATCCCAGAACTCAAGAAGAAAAGGATAATCCCTCCAAACCATAAAATCTGTAAGAACACATTCCAGTTAGAACCAGTCAGCATGGACCGAAGTGACCTAGAATTGTCATATGGTGGGGAACTTGAAAGTCTGATGTCATCCTGCTGATAGTCAAAAGTCAAGGGGTGGACCTCAGTGCAATTCTCTAGAAACTTCCCTGGGGCCCCAATAAAACTGGCTGGCAGGAGGGGCATGTCATCCCTCTCCTCTCCAAGAGGACCCACTCTCTACCTTGAGAGTGTCCCCTTTCCCACTATCCTATCCCTTCTAATAGACTCTTGCGTGTTACTATGAGCAGCTTGTCTGAAATCTTTCTGGCCTGTTTATACAAGAATTGGGGTTCAAAGGAGGGCCTCTCTGCTGCCTCAGTTTCATGCAAGGCCCCAGCCCTATAACAATATGGGGACTGATTTGTCATATGGGACCAGGGACTTCTGACTTCCACGTGGGATCATGTGACTTCTGACTGGCCTACTTCCCACCTGACTGAGCATGTGTAACGTGTGCCAACAGTAGAGGACCTAGGTGATCTCCCTGCCAGGCAAGGTTCATACAGAGCCTCCCAGGGTCACTGTCTTGGCTCTCACTTTGCTGAACCTGGTTTTCTACAGTGTAACTGATGGCAACCTGAACGCGGGTCATGTTTGGTTTTGCTTTTGCAGTGCTGAAGATTGAACCTAGGGTCTTGGACATGCTAGACAAGAACTCTACCACTGAGCTACACCCCAGCCGCGTTTTCATAGTTAAATGCTGAACTCTTTGAAATGCCTCAGAATTCCCAAAGCAAGCTAATTCAACAGCAAAATGATCACACCTGCTCCTTCTCCCTCAGTGCCCATTCTTCTCCCTCCTCACCCCTGATGAAGGTGTTGCAAGCAAGCTATGGCATACATAGACCAAACACATCTGTGTCTTTCCACAGTGTCAGAATTGTGGCAGTTTACTGAAAACCTATGGGTCACCTGGTAGTCATAACCCAGACAAACACAAGTTCTTCTATTCCAGCCTTAATTTCTAGTATCTGTAACACTCAAGTCACACATCACTGTATGTGTGTGTGTTTACAGAAAGGCTAAGAAAGGGTTAAAGCAACCACAGCAGTTCAGGAAGCTGGAGAGCAGACACAAAAGCAAACTGTCACTGTGTGTTGTCAGAGAAGATTATGAATCGGCAGAAGAACTCTTTCAGGGCACAGAGCTGTCAAAGCACAGGAGCTTATTCTAGTCTAGGCAAAGATCCAGAGGGAAGGCAGTTTCAGAGTGTCATCTTGGAGTGTCAGTTTGAGGCAGTGCCTGGTCATCCCAGGGAGAAGAAAACCCGTCCTGCTAAAGCCCAAAGACAGAGATTTGAATTTTTATCACTGTGACGATTTTCCTGGGCAAAGCTCTTGAGGACTGATCATGTGATGGGGTCAGGGTGCTGCTCTGTCCAGTCTCCTGGTACTCCTCCTTTTGTGGACCTTGAGCGAGGTCATTGTTGCATTCAGTGGTCTGTTTTTTTCCAATTCGAGTTTGATATGCCCATGCATCCTTGTGCTTCTGATTAATTCACTGAGTCCACAGGTGGTCATTTTCTTTAGCACACTGATTTACCAGCTGGCGCTCTTAGGGCTCTTTGGTTGTGCTGGGATGACGGTGGTTGTTTACTTGTACAAACAAGGTGTAGAGTCATTCCACCTCAGCACTTAGGAGTAGTTGATGGCAAACTACTGCTCTACAAAATGGGGTAACTCAGGTTTAGGCATAGCCTGAAAACTATGGAGTAACTCTGGACAGGGCAGAGCCTGCTCTCCGCATAATGTTTCTTTCTATCATCCCTCTACTTCGTTTTTTTCTGCCGGGGCTGTTTCAATACCCCTCCAATCTGGTATGTTCTCAGGCTTCTCTTTGAAATACAGCTCAAAAGCCCCCTGTGGCTCCCATTTGCCCACTAAATAAAACTCAAGATCTAACTCCCCTACCCCTGCCAGATTACCGCAGCAAAGTGAATTATTCCCACTTTTCCCCTAAGATTCCCCAAACTCCATGATTTAACCTCGCAGTTAAACCCCCAGGGGGAAAGCTGTCATTCTTCCATCAGCGGAGCGAGCTCAACACCGACCTGCTTGCGTCTTTCACCCTTTGACCGCCAGGGGGCGCTCGAGGAAGGGCGATCCGTGGAGGAAGCGGCTCAACAGCCCGTCTGGGTCGACCCGCCCCTTTTCCTTTCCGAGCCAATCGTTAGTCAGAGGGGTGGGGCCGCTCGTCAGCTTCTGCGCGTTCAGAGCGGACGGTAAGGGTGCAGAAGCAGCGATGCCGGAGGTGGCGGAGAAGTGGCGGTTCCGTGTCGCCGCACTGCTGCTGCTGCCGCTGCTACTGCTCGAAGTGGCCAAGTCGTCGCTCTGGGGTAGTGGGCGTCGCTACACCCCCGACTGGCGGAGCCTGGACTCCCGGCCGCTGCCGGTCTGGTTCGATGAGGCCAAGTTCGGGGTGTTTGTGCACTGGGGCGTGTACTCGGTGCCGGCCTGGGGCAGCGAGTGGTTCTGGTGGCACTGGCAGGGTGAGGGACTGCCCCAGTACCGGCGCTTCATGAACGAGAACTACCCGCCCGGCTTCAGCTACCCCGAGTTCGGACCGCAGTTCACAGCGCGCTTCTTCGAACCGGAAAAGTGGGCCGACCTCTTTATGGCCTCGGGGGCGAAGTGAGTGCCGGGCTGACCCGGGCAGCAGGAGGTGGCGGGTCGGGCCGCCTGCCCAGGGCCTGCCTGACCTTAGGGTACCTCCAGGTCTTGTGTTTTGGATGCAGAATTGAACGTGGCACACCTGATCTTAAGGAGAAGGTGCTTCTGGTTGAGGATTTAAAAATAAAAGATTTCAGGCCGGATGGTCTGGAAAGCTCTCTGTATCTACACCTGTATTATC